GTGACCGGTTGAGAAATCTCTAAATTCGTTCTTACTCTTCAAGTAAGAACTGGTGACAGCAGCCACTCGTGAAATCTCTTCTCGAGACGTGACACACTAATATCCTTTTCATTAAAGATATAAGAATCTCCCAGTATATTAAAATCTCATTCTTGTAATCCTATAATTTTTCTATAATGATGTCAAGATACAGTAAAACTTTTATAGTTTCCGCAAATTAGATTCATTTTTTCACATAATAACTGTAACTTATTCGATTTTTCATCATATTTTGTATATGTATATTTAACAAAACTAAATATTTTGAAGATTAAAACATCGGAWTTTTGTAGACTAACATATTTTTCTATGATGCAGTAAATATACAAACATCTTTAGATTGCTGTATAATGTACAATAGTAATCTATCATTTTTCTTTGCAATTCAATCGATTTTAAATACATGAATTCTTTTTATTCAAGATATAAGAATCAACTAATATATTATATATTGGCATCTAATTTTTGTATTTTTATCGATTTTTAATTATAGGAATTTTTTTTTAGTATAAATACTAAATTTTTCTAAGATATTTACATCCAATTTTTGTAAACTTTAAAACTTATCTATGCTGCAGTCAAGCCTCAAACAACCTTTTGGTATCTGTGACTAGTACATACTTTTTTCAGCACTTTGAATGAAATTTTATAGATTTTTTTTTATAGAAATTTTTTTAATAAAAAACGGAAATTTTTTGTTAGTTTAGAATCAAATTCAAGTAAACTAACGACATTTTTGATGATGTAGTCAGGGTATAGAAAATTATTTAGTATATGCTAAAAGAAAAACATTTTCTTTTACATTTTTTTCAAAATACTGCTAGACTGAACGAAGGTTATGGTAAAATGCAATGAAAGATCTAATAAAGATTTTTTCTAGAAATGTTTTTTTAACTCTGTAGCCTACCACACTTCGAGACCCTTATTATTTATAACATATCTCGTCCTTATTCTTTGAACCACAAACTTATCTTTCTAAATACTCTCGTCTTAATAAAGATCTGAACTACGAAAAATTTAAAAAATGCATTGAATCGTATCGCTTTCTCAGCTTATCGAACTGTGTACACTACGAGACTCAGATTTCAGCTCCGTGGTAAGCTCCACCGATTCACACTGGGCGCTTAACATCTTAAAAATGATTTTATTATATTGAAAAATTAGTACAAATTTTCTAAATACGCAAACATTATAATTAAAAAACATGTCTTTGGATATTTATAAGAAAAATATTCTACAATGTTGTTTAATTTTTTTTCTTTGATGTATCTGATAATCATTCCATTTTTTGTAAAATATTGCAGACAATACAATTATTATATTCTATATATTTCGTAATTGTTAATTACAATATTTGCGAAATATATAATTTAGTATTTATTTTTCAATAACATAGAAACATTTTTAAATAGAAAAGAAATACCACGTTTGGTAAAATAAAAACAGACCACGCACCTTCTTTCTTTATTTCGACCGACGCGTCGGTTCGTTTCGACCTTATACTTTTGTCGCATACCTACGTGCTTATCTCTGTTCATTCTTCTACCCTTCTATCGCTCCTACCTACAAACATTTCGAGTATCGAAAGAATACGTGTCCACGCTTTGTAGTATGCAGTCGCACACAAACACACACATATACAACCAGGAGCGATAACTACGAGGCATAGCATACAGAGGAAACCGAGAATAGGAAAAACTGTATAGCTATATTCCGTTTCATTCTCTCGCAGGCTAAATCCTATATGTTTGTCTCTTTTTCTCTCATTATTTAGTATAGCAGCCGTTTCATAGCTTCGTTACATTGCTTCGTTACATAGCTTCGTTACATAGCTTCGTTACATAGCTTCGTTACATAGCTCCGTTTCCGTTTATTTACTTTTCAGATTACTCTCATTCTAAAGAAGTTTTCACTTCAAAAAAGAAGAGATTGAAAAAGACGTAACAATGTTGATATTCGAAGAAAAAAAAATAGAAACGATTAGGACGATTGCAGAACCACAACCATATGAAGATTTCACGTTGGAAAACGACCTATTGAGAAAGAGAAAAGAACGCGATAAACAATACGAAGAAGAAACCTAATCTTCGGGGACCGAAGATTTGCAGAATGGCCGAATGTAGAAGAGTTTTAAGTTTAGCAGGTGTAGACAAAAAAACTAGTATTTAGTTTTTGTATATCTTACGTAGTTTCTGTATATCTTATTTTATTGAAAAGGAAAACTCTATTCAGACTAACTGAAAAGATCAGGTAGGCCATAAAACCATAAACGAAGCTTAAGGATTATCAGGATATATTGATGCAATAAAAAACCATGTGGGCAGTGTCGGGACCCTTTGGAGAATTTCAGATACCTGTGTTAAATATGCGAAACCATAAAAATGGGTAACATTCCGATGTGCTAGATTAAGTTTCTGTATGCATAGTTCCCACTACCAAAAACCATAGGCTGTATCTGTCGGTGGACTATGGGGTGGATCCTTATGCTATTGGTCAGTAGGATTTGTAAGCATCTTCCCTCTCAAAAGTGGTGTAGGTCATTTCTAATATAAAAGACGTGGAAAGAAATAAGAAGAAAGAAGAAATAAGAAACCCTGGCAGCTGTAACATCTCATGCCCCTATCCCTCGACGGACAGAATGCCGCTCGATGTCCTCTCTCTCCGCAATTGTGACAGYCGTCGAAGACTCGTTGTTGTCCACCCGGTCTTTGCTGCCCCACCATTCCCATAGGTCTGCGCCCTGTTGACTTTCCTTCGGCTTCTTCCAGCCTCCTCCATGCCCGGTTAGCCTCGGGCCCCGTCGGCAACTGTATCTTCTCAAATGCAGTAAAAAGTTCGGATCTGTCTCGGAATCCCCTGATCCTCGCCGTGTTCTGCAACGACGTGTCAGGGATTCCGTCGATCAGATATTCGATCAGTTCTTCCTCACTTACGGACGCACAGTTCCCCAGGATCACCTTATCATGGTAATATTCACTGAAGCGTTCACCATGCTTCCACCGTCGTCGCATAAACTCCCTTTTCCTATCGACGCAAGAAGGGAGATGTCGAAACATCTTCCTTATTTCATATAGCAGTTCCTCGTTCGTCATGTCAGCATACTCCGCTCTCGAGTGAAACCACTCTGCAGCTTTCCCTTTTAACCGTAGCCTAAACAGTACTGTCGCTTCTCCGTCAGATAAATGGTGTATCCTTTTTAAGGCAAGGAACTGCCGTTCCCAGTGATCGTAGGGAGTCTCACCGTCGTAATAACTTAGCATCTCCGCGACCGTCGTCAATCCTATCTGCGGGCGACTTAATTCCTCGCGCCTCATCGCGAATGAATCGCGTCCAACCTCTTCTCTCGACCGGAGCAGTCGTTAATTGCTGAGAGAGCTCCTCCATCTTCTGCTGCAACTGYTTTATCTCCTGACGAAGCAAACTTTCTCGTTCCTCAGCGCTCGTGGTTGCGCCGCAGAGGGCAGCCTCGTAGTTCTTGTCTTTTCTCGAAAAGATTGCATGCGCTTCATCCTGAAACTCCTCTCCCGAATTTCTTGAAACTCGCACTCTGCTTAACTCAATGTCCATTAGCCTTGAAATCAACTCCGCCTTCGAGCCTACCGTGGGTTAATTCGATTCCCGAAGCCGCTCTTTAAGCTGCATCACCGTGAATTCACCGTATGAATTGGTATCCATTTTTTCTTCTTCTTTGTTCATAGTGAACAAATTTAATTATATTATTTTAAAAAAAAACATGGAAAAATATTCAGATAAACGTTCGGATAAATATTCGGATAAATATTCTGACAGATATTCTGATAGACATTCGGAGAGACGCTCAGATAGGCGTTCGGAAAGACGTTCAGAAAGATATTCGGATAGACGTTCAGAAAGACGTTCAGATAAACATTTAGATAAACATTCGGGTAAATATTCTAATAAATATTCGGAAAGAAAAATTACAACAGAAACAATGCCGGAGAATCGGAAAAGGACTCATGATGTATTAACAGCAAAAACAGGGGGTGCCTATATACCACCAGCAAAATTGCGTATGATGCAAGCAAATATAACAGACAAGTCTGGTGCTGCGTATCAGCGGATTGCATGGAAAGCCTTAAAGAAATCAATTCAGGGTAGTATTAATAAAGTTAACGTGAGCTATATTGGTCTTATAACAAGGGAACTTTTAAGAGAAAATATTGTTAGGGGAAGAGGTTTGTTAGCTCGTTCTATTATACAAGCTCAAGCTGCTTCTCCAACTTAAACTCCTGTTTAAGCAGCACTTACAGCTATTATTAATTCTAAATTTCCTAATATTGGTGAACAAATATTGAAGCGACTAATTATACAATTTAAACATGGTTTTCGTAGAAATGACAAACCTCTCTGTATATCATCTGGAACATTTGTCGCACATCTTTTGAATCAACGTGTAGCACACGAAATTTTACCTTTGGAGATTTTAACGTTACTCGTTGAAACACCTACGGATGATTTTGTAGAAGTTGCCATAGCATTCTTGAAAAAATGTGGTATGAAATTAACAGAAGTATCTCGTAAAGGTATAGAAGTTATTATGGAAATGTTGAAAAATTTATTGCACGAGGGTCAATTGGATAAACGTGTTCAATATATGATTGAAGTCATGTTTCAAATTCGAAAGGATGGCTTCAAAAATCATCCAGCAATTCCTCCAGAATTAGATCTTGTAGAGGAAGAAAATCAATTCACGCATCTCATACAATTAGACGAAGCAATAGATTCGCAAGACATTTTAAATGTTTTCAAGTTTGACAGTAATTATGTAGCTAATAAGGAAAAATATAAACAATTGAGCAATAAAATTCTTGTTTTAAATGACAGAAGTATATTTATTTTATCTATATATTATTCCTATGGATAAAGAATAAATTTAAATTATTAAATAATTATTGTACAAATATAAATATTTATATATTTTTCTATATATCTATTGATTAAACTTTAATTAATTAATATTTATTAATATATTTAAAAATTTTTAATTATTTGGCATATAAATTCATAATATATAAAATAATTCCATATATTTTAATAAACATGTGTATTTATTATAATAAATATAATACACTTTTATATATTTATATTAGATTATATGTATATATTTTTTACATAAATTTTTATTTAAATATATTAATGGGCCTTACAGTAACTATTTACTTTATCCATATATTCATACCAAATAGAAAATTTATTTGTTATTAATTAATTATTTTATGCTATATAATAACTTGTTATAAGATATAAATATTTCTTTTTTTTTTAATTATTAAATTAATATTATTATTATAAATATTAATATGGGCCAGATGGCGCTTTGTAGTAATGTTGTGTGCATTCGTGCGTCCGAACACATGGACATGAGTCGCTTTCATAGTGTACCACTCCGGCGTGCCCGCCAACTTCGGTTACACCTGACTTCTTTCGACATCCCGAACACACGGACATGGGTAACTTTCATTGTGTGCAATCCCACAGTGGCACAGGGAGAGGGTACGATTTACCCACGATCTGGCAGCACAGCCCGACGCGGTAAATACGAAATCGAGAGGCCGTCCGAACAATACCGAACAACTGGAGAAAGAAGGTGAGAAGAACAAAAGAAAGCTCACAGAGTATTTTGCAACTTCAAATTCCGCTACTCCGAAGAGCGTGAATCGCATACGTAAGCGTACGCGTAGTGAGGAAACGTCACCGACAGACTCTGAAAACCTATCTTTCTCACCTGTAAAGCGATACAACACAAAACATCTGGACTCTTTTTGCCACGCAGCGGGCAAAGAGCAAGGAAAACCTCTCTTAGACAGTCACAACAGGGACAGCGAAAACAACTCACCACCAAAAGCTCTAGACCCGGAACTTAAAGCTTACCTGGACGCTATGTCAGGGAACATCATCACGACTATTTCTATGCAGCTACAAGAATTCCAAAAATCAATAGAAAGCTTGAAAGCCGATATGGAAAAGCGGATGAAAGGTTCAGAGTTTTCCAACAGAAAACCAAAGATTTTCAGGACGACACAAGAGCAAGGCTCGACAAACTGGAGAAAAGCCCCCGGAAAGACAAATACATCATAGACATGGAACGTAGAATCAAGGCAATAGAAGAAACATCAAATTCCAATCCACCAACCCCCCTTTACGTGAAAGTGTGCAAAAGGGTTAAGGAGGTAGCTACCTGGGCAAACGAGATGGAAAGAAATCGTAGGAGAGATAATATCGTGATTAAAGGTCTTCGAGCAAAAACCCAGACTTTGTTAACCGAGGTCCACACATTCTTACAAGCAACATTCGGTTTTGAAGACCAGGTGCTCTCGGCGAGAATGGTGTCCAAACCTGGGACGCGCTCCATCGTTGTTGTCCAACTGAAGTCATCCGATATTAAACGTACGATTTTAAAACTGAAGAAAGACAAGCTAAACGGAAACAAGTATTCATCGAGCCAGATCGCACACCAGATGATCGAAAGATCTTCCTGGGCTTAAGGGCTAGAGCCAAAAAAGCCGAGAAGACAGGGAAGAGAGCCACGATACGTAATAAAACCATCAGATGACAACTATCATCAGTGGACAACTATCCACTGGCAGGCTGACTCTAACAATATCCAGCCAGTGGCAAAAAACCAATCCAAAGGACAGCAGAGCAAAAACGACAAAGGATGGCCCCCCCTCCGACCCCAGTATTCCAAGCAATCTTCTGGAACATCTACGGGATACGAAACCTAGGCACAGCGAGCTTCCCAACAAGACCTGACTTTCTAGGCATCTCTGAGACGTGGGTCTCGCAGAAGATAGCCGCAGCACCGGCGCCTTGGGACAATTACAACTGCGAATATTCAGAAGCAGTCAAAGAAAAAGTACTGGCCGTGCGAGTGGTGGTTTTATGGTTTTAAGCCATAAGGATTACAATATGATGTTAATAGGAAAATCAGAAATGTATGTCTTTGTGTGTGTCCGTAAAAGGACTGTAAATTATGTGTTGGGAACTATCTATTGGAGACTTAACTATGACATAAACATTGCGCTAGAATCGCTACAACTAATTTTAGACGAAATTATCACGGACTATAAAAATGTTTCAATTGTAATTGCAGGCGATTTCAACGCAAGACTTGGCCTGATTGGTGACCTTGAGGCAGAGGTTGTAGAAAATACTGTGCTTAATAATCAGAGGAATTCTTAAGATCTCAAAGTAAATTCACGGGATAAAGAACTAAGTAATTTTATGGAAAGTAATGGTTTTATTCTGTTAAATGGCCGAACGATAGGAGACCTAAAGGGCGAGTATACTTTTGAGAACCATAACGGTCAAAGTACAATTGATTTATGTTGGATCAATACACAGTTCATGGATATTGTAGAAAATTTTGAGGTATTGCAAACTGTTACGGGATCGGATCATTTCCCAATTGGAGTAAGCCTGCAACTGCCACTCAACACTGGAGAGTATGCAAATAAAGAACAGGAAAAAAGTACAACATATAATAAGCAACCAAAATTTCAATGGGAACCGAGCAAGTTTGCTGAATACCAAGACCTATTAAATAATTTAAGAGTACCAGTGGAAGCCTTTACAAACACTGACAATTTATCAGTGGATGAGCAGAGTAATATCCTATCGACAGCAATTCAAAAGGCGGCTCTGAAATCCGGAATGTGGAAGGAAGTAAAAAGATCCAATGTGCGGAAGTTTCATGCCCCTTGGTTCAATAAAGAGATCCTGGACCATAAAAGAAAAGCCCAAAAACTGCTTCGGGAGATTAAAAATTCGGATAGGAATAACAACTTACTGCAAGCCGATTATCTCAAAGCAAAAAAAGAGTACAAACTCTCAATCGCCATTAGAAAAGCTTACTATTACAAAGAATTGAAGAATAGATTCGCTGGGGTAAAGAATTCAAAAGAATTCTGGCAGGCTGTACGTAGATGTAAAATTAGCACCTTTACTCCAAACCTGATAGATTTGAAAGAGTGGGAGATGTTCTATAGACAAATATTCCCGCCCAGACCTAGCCTACAGGTGATATATGCCGATGTTGCTGACACGTTGTTAGACTCAGAAATATCGTTTCCAGAAATTATCGAGGCTTTGAAAAAATGTAAACCAGAAAAATCTCCAGGTGAGGATAACATAACAGCGCAATTTACCACAATTTACCGCGGCCTTGGTTAAACTATATTCAATCACTGTTCAACAATATCATTAATAAGGAACAAATGCCGAAAAAATGGGCGTGTTCAATTCTCACGCTGATTCACAAAAAAGGATGCAAAAAAGACCCAGGAAATTATAGAGGTATCGCACTTTGTAATTTCATATCGAAGATATTCACCCAGGTCTTAGCCAAGAGACTGCGTAGTTGGGCTGAAAGCAGAAGTGTGCTGCCGGAATCACAGTGCGGCTTTCGGAATAAACGCAGCTGTATAGACAATATTTATGTCCTACAGTCGGCGGTACATTTCCAATTAAGACTCAATAAAGGTGCTCTATATGCCCTTTTTGTGGATTTCCGCCGCGCGTTTGACTCAATTAAACATYCGCTTCTTTGGTCAAAGTTACACAAACTGGGGGTCAGCTCGAAATTCATCCGGGTGCTGAGATCGCTTTATGACCACGCTTCTTTTCGCGTAAAGATAAACATGGAACTATCCAGGCCAATCGATGTTACTGAGGGCGTTCTTCAAGGGGAAATACTAAGTCCACTGTTATTCGTTCTATTCATCTCCGATATGGAGAAAGCCCTTAGAGGAGCTGACTTGGGCGGTATAAACATTGACGGAGTGAACGATATTATACCACTGCTATTCGCGGACGATGCTGTAGCACTGGCTAGAACCCCAGTAACCTTGAGGAAAATAATAATAGTCCTAGAAAAGTATTGTGCTGCAAATGGTCTAGAAGTAAACACGTCGAAGACTGAAGTCGTAAATTTCTACAGAGGAAGCTGAGCCTCAAACGAAACCTTCGCGTTTAATAAAACCCCCCTCAAGGTCGTAAAGGTATATAAGTACTTAGGCTTCCAGTTTTCCTCTTCCGGATTGGGTAGAACAGCGAGAGAGTCAGCGGTCCGAAATGCAAATATGGCGATAGGCACAACGTTGCAAATACTGGGCAAATCCAAGGCGGACTCGTGGGAAGGGCGTATAAAACTGTACAACAGCCTGATTGCTTCGACACTTCTATATTCGGCTCATATTTGTGGGCTCAGACATTTGAACGAAATGGAAATAGTACAGACGAATTACTTCAAAAGGGTCCTGGCACTGCCGAGATGTACACCTAATGGATTGTTGCGTTTAGAATTAAGCCTCGCAAAAGTGGCGTTACAAGTTTTTAAATATGCATGGAAATGGGTGGGCAAATTATTACAAATGGATCAACGCAGACTCCCACGACTCTGCTTGTTACACCAGATACACCTATTTGGAAACGATAATACGATAAACATAAAATACAATTGGGTAGCCCAATTCAACAAAATGCTAGAGCCAATAGGTCTAACTTACATGTGGGAAAATTTGAACTCAGAATATTGGCAAGAAAAGGAAAGCTACGCTTGCGAAAAGTTTGCACAGTTACTGAGGGCTCAGGATCTCAATAAATGCCTCAGCACAGAATCTTAAACATGCAGAGTGTTGAGAGTAACCCAAGGTACGGCTGCTAAGTACTTATATAACCGAAATATGCTCCACGCTGCAAAGATCTTAGCGCAACTAAGACTTTCTACTATCTATGTATTAAAATTTTCGTACAAGGGCGAATCATATTTAATCGACCAAAGAGTGTTGTGCTCTATTTGCAATTTAAAAGTTAATGAAACAGCTAGCCACTTTTTATTCGAGTGCCCTACTTACCGTAGCATGCGAGAACATTACCTGGAGAGCATCATAAAGAACTCTGCAAACTCTTTAGTGACAGTTTGTAATCTAACAGAAACTAGAGACTTCAAGGCTTTGTATACATATGTTGTGAATGCGTAAATGTTAAGGGCTTTTATCATGAACGAATAATATACCCTCTTACAATCTGACCGTCAAATACGCGCGCGAAACTTTCTGAATTTAAACATTTTTATTTATAGATCATGAATGAATGTACAAAGAACTCACTCTGCTACGAGTATGTAACTTATAAGCAGAATAAACGAATTGAATTGATTGAAAATAAATATTAATATCAATTTTTATAATTATAATTTATGTTATTAATTTTTAATTATTAAAGATATAATTATAAGTTTTTATATATATGTTATTATTTTTTTTTTATTAAAATTATATTTTTATATTTTTATTTTATTTATTATATTCAAATAATCACATAATCATTTTAAATCTATTTAATTTCCTCATTATAAAATTTAATGATTTAGCTTTTTATATGTAGATTAATTTAATAAAAATAAAAAAATTTGACTTGAAACTGAGAAAATCAGTAATTAGGCAAATCTTAATTCTATTTAAACCTAAAACTACACTCAACCTTAATCTTTACTGTAAAAAATTCAATAAAAATTACACCAATCGAATAAATTCAACAGTTCAAAAACCTTAGTATTGAACTATTTAATTTTCTTATTAAAAAAATTTAAAAATTTAGCTCTTTGTATGTAGAATTATTTAATAAAAATAAAAATTTTATATTTTAATGTTAAATTGCATAAAAATTTTTGAAATTTTAAGTGATAAAATTATTATCAAATATAAATAAACATTAGAAAAATTTTATTTTCTTAAATAAATTTACAATTTATTACTTTAATCGGACATAATGTTCAGTTATTTTGATTTATAAATATAAAATTAAAATGATGTGCCTGATTAAAAGGATTATTTGGAAAGGATAAATTACATAAATTTTTTATCTTCATTAAATATAAATAAGCTAATTTTTAAGCTAGTAGGTTCATACCCTAAAAATATAATTCATTTATTTTCTATAATCATTAAACAAAATTTTATTTCAATTAAAAACATTAATTTTAAAAATTTATTTTAAAATAAATCTTTTTATTTAATAGATAGATAGATAGATAGATAGATAGATAGATAGATAGATAGATTTATTTACTGTTTCCC